CTGTGCCCAGGGCTGCTCTCTGAGTGCCACAGGCCCCTGTGCCCACAGGGCTGTTCTCTGGAGTGCCGTGTGCAGGAACAGCCAGGAGGCCAGGGCACCGGAAGGCTTCAGGCTCTGTCCACAGACAGATCCTGCACCCCAGGGTGGGGTGGTCCATGCTGGGCAGCGCCCCTGCCCTGAACCTTGAGAAGTGCTACCTKCCTCGAGTGGCTCCAGGCAGAAGGAGCAGGCGAGGCGCCTGGCAGGCCCTGACGGGGGAGGGGCGTGGCACTGCCACRCGTGTTGAGGACAGATTTAGAGCTACACTCAGCTTTAGAGGTTGATTGTGAGCAGGTGTGACTGTTGTCTTGTCTCCRCCTGCTCCAATTGCCTCGGGGCTCACCCGGAGCCTGCAGTACAGCTCCTTCTTCCCCCTCCGGGAGCGCCGTCGGTCTGGCTGGGGATCACTCTCTGTGAGCTCCTTTGCRAGGGGGCACTGGCTGCCTTAATTACATTTTGGTAATCCCTTTTTAATTACTCGCCTCCTCGTGTCCCCTTGAGGGAAGGGAAGACTGGGGTCATATTTAATGAGTTTGGGGAAGAGGCACCAAGGACTCTGCGTTGTTACTTCTCTTCCCTCCTATTAACCGAGCCCCAGGAAGAGATGGAGGAGCTTCGGGACGGTGTGCTGTCCCCCGCCCCACCCACCCACTCCCAGAGCAGGAGGCACCGACGCCCTGCCACCACCACCTGTGCCTAATGGCAGATCCACAGGACAAAGGGAAGCCTCAGGTACTCTGTTACTTGCTATGACAGAACTCGTGGTCACTCCTGTGGGGGTCTCACTGTCCTCCTAGCCCAGGCAGCCCTTTCCTGGTGACTGCACACCTTCTGACCTCCTGGGCTCAGGTGACCTTCTCAGCAAGGTGTCCTGTGCCCTCCTGGGCTGGTTGCAGACACCGGTACCGTTGGCCCAGAGCTCTGAGCACACCCTGCAGGCCACGTATCAGGAGGCTGCTCTGTGGCTCCCACGGTGGCCCTGTAGGCCACCAGGACGAGGCCATCTCTGCCGCTGCTCCACCGCGATGCACACTTCTCACSGCCACTCCTTTGCAGTCAGCCCTGCTTCTTGGCACCTCACCCGCAGGCGAAGGCGAGGGCCATCCGTGGGACCCGCCAGGGTGGGGCGCACTGRTCACAGGCAGCTTTAGGGACGTTCACGCCATGACTCCTGGGTGAGGGTATGAGCAGGAACGAGCAGGTCCTTCACAGGCAGCCCAAGCAGACCAGACCAGCCCTGTGTGACCCCAAGCCACCGGCTGCCTGGCCCACCTCTTCTGACAGTGTCCCCTGCTGACCTCCCTTCAGCGGCCTCACTGCAGCCCCACCACGGGCTCCACTTCTCCAACCAGCTGGTGCCCCGACCTGGCAGGGAMCCCATCTCTCCTCTGCATGTCCTGGAGAGGGCCCTGGGCTCCCTCCCTGCTCCTCCTCTGCTTCTCATGGAACATGCTGGAACCTGCCCTGTGACCTACCCCCTCCTCTGTCTTCCTGGCCAYGACGGAGGCCCCGGGAGGCAGGGACTGCCTCCATGTGCTCGTGCTGAACCTGGCGTCTGCTCAGTGCCTGGGACACGTGGCCCACGGGAGACACGGGCCCACCAACAGTTGAAGGAGGTGACACCGTGAAAGGGCGCATGCCCACGTCCAGCCCCCTGTGGAGGGAGGGGCACAGAGTGGAGAATGCCGGGGGGAAGGCACCGAGCAGGCCAGGGCAGCCGAGAGGGGGGGAAGCTGTGCCTCCCTCCGCAGCAGCACGCGCCAGGGAAGCCCCAGGGGAGGCTGGGGCAGGCGGGAGACAGGAGCAGCCAGCAGCAGCCACAGTGCGGGCTTTGGGGAGCAGGCTGGGGCCGCCGGTGTCAAGTGACCTGTTCTTAAATCTCTCAAAGCGATGCAATAATCATCCGCCTGGGCAGAGGCTGAAAATATTTGTCAATAAAATAGTTGCAAGAATCCAGAAAAGCCCCAGGAGTCCCCACACTCCATAGCACACCCAGGTGCCCCTCATCCTCCCGAGGGCATCGTTCAGGAAAGGGTGGTGCGGGCGGGCATCAGGAGGGGATGGCAGTTGTTCCCAGGGTGTTTCAAGTCTTTTCTTCAGAATCATCAGTCTATTCCAAACAGTGTGCGAGAGGTACCCACGCCCCTCCAACACCAGCCCGAGACACCTGAGCCAGCCAACGTTCAGTCATTCGTGACTTTAAAAATGGTGACTTCCTATGACTCCATCCAAAAGAATGAATGAACTATTTAAAAACACATCCAAGGGGCTGCTTTCAAGATCAATAAAAATATCCCTGTCCCCAACCCCAGCTATTTTTATTTCTTGGATTCTTTCCAAGAAAGAATGGATGCAGATTTGCACATGGTGCTCGCTGCAGAGTAGACCACGTGGCCGAGCTCGGGAAAGTCAAAAGGCTTAAAAGTCAGGGAGTCGGTGGGCTGGTTCAGACATTTTAACTGGTGTTTGGAAAGTCTCTAAGTGACATAGTACAGTTCCACGTGAAGTGAAAAAAATAAACAACAACAACAAGATACCCAAGTGTATTGTCATCTCCACTCTGAAGGGCGTACTGAAAATTGAAACGTCATCTCCAAGGCTGTGAGTCACGGAGAACAGAGCTCAGCCCCACAGCTGAGCCCTGCCTCKTCCCTGCCACGGAGGCCACGTGGCGGTGGACTCCTGGAGCCGTGGGCTCTGCTCCGTCCCCTGTGTGGAGAGGCTCCCTAAGGGGCTGAGGGGGCCCCAGAGGCTGCCTTCTTTTGTATGTTTCCTCAAATTTCCACAATTGATGTCTTAAATCTCAACAGAGGAGTCACTGAAAAGCGCAGTCACCATACTGAAGAGCAGACGCAGGCCAGACAGGAGAAGGGATTTGAAACTCAAGCGGCATCAGAGGACTGGGAACTCCCCGGTACTTGCGGACGGGGAAACCGAGACGGCYGACACGTGCAAAATCACTTGCCCGGACCCACCACCAGATTGGCAGGAGTCGGAACATCGGACGCGCCAGGGCCCAGCAGGCCGGGGTACACCGTCAATGCCACACACTGGGAGCTGTGGAGGCGTCAGGGAAGCTGAGCACGGCCACCCCGTTACCAATGGCACCCAGAGCAGCCGCACGTACACAGGAACAGGTGTCAGGGACTCRGGCCCTGAGGATGCCCTCACTGCCCTTCCCAGGGCCTCTCCTCCTGTTGCCCTGTCAGAACCCCGACCTCCACATTCACCAGGACACAGCCCAGGGCCGGGACCACAGCAGGCCTGCTTCTCTGGACACCGGATCATCTTCTAGGACCTAAGATTCCTTAGAACTCTAAAACAACCTGACAAAAGCAAGCTCTCAAGATKTTTTTGAAAATAAAATAAATAAAACTTTGCAGGAAAGTAGAAGATGATTCACCTTCTAATTCTCTATGTAGAATTCACACCAATTCTTCATTTAGAATGAGCTAATTACATGAGGTGATTGCCAATTTATCTGATGTGGTTTTAATCAATTACCCATTTTGTAAAAACTAATTTCAGTTCATTTTCATAAAAAGACACTTATGTATTGCAGACACCTTACCTCCTCTAGGAAAGAGCTGAAGGTCTCTAGAAAATATTTCCAATTTATGTAGGGCACTAGATGAATTCTTAGTTTCCTCAAGAAATAATGGTACTGATTGTCCGACAGTTGGCAGCAGACGTCCTTCAGGACTTGCCCAAACTCCGTGGCATTTACAAAACCGGTGTCCTCTGTATCCAGGGCAGAAAATGCCTGAAAAGAGCAGAGACGAGGCTGATGACAAGAGCTGCCTGAAGTGGCCACGTCGGGGAATCACCCTCAGCCTGTCTCTGCTGAATGCAGATGGGGCCAGGGCATGAGAGCGACTCTCCACSGTGGACGGGGGGCTTCTGAGGTCCAGGGGAGCGTCACCTCATCAGCTCTTACTGCCGTGCACACTGGGAGGAAGAAGGGGCAGGGGAATCCTGGTCCAGGGCCCTGAAACCTGTTGGAACTGCTCTCAGCCTCGTGGACTCCATTTTGCAGAGGACAGAGTGACTTGTTCAGGGTCCCTCGACCATTCCATTCTAGCTCTTTTAAGCATAAAGAGCAGGGGAAGGTGCASGGCATCAGGCAGGGCTCGGGCCGATGGCGGACTTGGGGAACACCTTGGGGGAGGGTGATGGGTCCCTCCCTCCCAAACCTGTCCCCAGCCGGGCTTTGTCCCCTTAGGGGCCTCGAATCCCGAGAAGATGGCACCGCCCTGAGCCTATGCTGAGGGGCTGAGGACCCACTGCAAATCCAGCAGTGCCRTAGTCACACTGAGAGGTGCAAAAATGTGCTATAAAAAGAAAGCACATTTTTTTCCATCTGTCGAAATAAAATCATTCATTTTTATTGCACTAGGAAATCTGTATCAAGTGGTAGATTAAGATTTTTTTTTTAAGTAGGAAATTTAATGTGCCTGTAGACCCCAACCAAATCCTCTTGAGGTTGGTTTTCATTCTGGGCTCATTAGGCACACCCTGGATGTGGTTAGGTGTGGCCAAAGCCAGGGCAGAGGATGACCCAGAGCTTCAACGTTCCCTCTGGCTGCAGTGACGTGAGGCAGCAGTGCAGGGGGCCCTGGCCCTGAACTGGGCTCTGCTGCCCACCTTCCGTGCATGGCCTCCCTGCACTTCACCTTCTTCCCTATAAAAGTGGCCTGCCCTCGGGGTGGCCTCACTACTGCCCGTGGTGGCTCCCAGCACATGCTGAGGATCATGACCATAGAAACAGACACTGCAAACCAGGTGCTTGGTGCCGCRAGGACCTTAGAGGACAGCGTGGGCCCCACCATCCCAGCCTCCCTGGGCCTGCGGTAAGCCCTGCCTCCAAGCCGCAGGGAGGAGGTGTCAGAAGGCCGTGGTGGCTAGAAGGCACTGTTAAGTCACTCCACAAACCAGACGCACGCGCGCGCGCGCACACACACACACACACACACACCCACACCCCTGCCTCCTCTCTGATGACATCCTGGGCTGGCGTCGGCGTCGCCCTCCCTGGCCCTCTCTCCCTCCAACCCACCTCCATGTTCTTGGCCAGGGCATCTGGCCTTGCCCAGCACCTCACTGCAGAAGACGCATTTCCCACAAACAAGCACCCGGCTCCTCCCACAGGTTCCAGGGACCTTAGTGTGAGAAGCACCTGACTGAGTCCAGTGGTGGCCCTTTAGAAGGGACAGCCATCTGAACTGGGGTTCATCTGACCTGCAGGATACTTTTGAAAATCGGAACAGTGTGCTGACATCAGGCAGCAGGAGACTCACAGCCTCCAGGAGGACGTCCAGACCTGGCTCGCAATGTAGGCCCATCGTCAGGCCCACGTGCTCACCAGGGACAGGGCCATGCTGCCTGGATTGCTGTCCACAAGCTTTCCAGGTGACCACTGGGCAGGGAGGCCTCTGGCAGCAGGTGTGGTCCTGGGCTCTCTTCTGGCCCACGACCGGCTCACACTAATTTTTCTCTAGACAATCATTAAACATACAGCTACTCGCCCACGGAGACCCCGAGGTGCCGACACCGCTTCTCTCCAGGACGCAGGCCAAGTCCACCCGCTTTTCCCAAGCCAGCTGGGCCATGTTGGCCTCCTGCTCCTCTCCCCATCCAGGGACCTCAGTGTGAGAAGCCCCTCAGCCCCTCTCCTTGGGCTCCAGAGCCCACCTTCCCACTCACACTGAGAAAAGAGGGATCTGACTCACTCACACACAAAGTTCAGATCTCAGAGTGGAGAGCGAGCATTCGCTGGCCTCGCGCCACGCTGGCTGTCCATGGACAGCTCACAACACCAGTGGCTCTCGGCCTGGGCTCCTTCAAGACCCAGCACACTAGAGCTGATCCTCCTAATAAATCAGTTACAGACCTTCAGCACTTCAATTCTTCAAACCTCTTGGACTTGGAAAAGAAGGGCCGGGCCGATTCCCTTTCTCTCTCTACCCAACAGCCACTTCCTAACTCAATTCCCTACATGACCTTGGCAAGTTTTCATCCTGAGCCTCAACTTCCCTCCTGTCCAATCGTCAGCCCTAGCGTCTAAGATTGTGACCYAAGAGAAAAGACTCAGAATCTCACCAGGGTTCCTGGCCCGTGAGAGCTCCCCGGGGAAGGAGCGTGGCTGTCTGCAGAGCTACGGAGGGAGGCTCCTTCCTGGGGCCACGCTGACCTCCCGTGGTGTGCAGGTCAGGGCTCTGCCATGTCAGGGGCCTTTCATGCGGGGGGCTAGGTCACGGGGCCCTGAAGTTTTGACCTGATGGCTAGTTCCGGTTGGCCTGTGGGCATCTGGGGGGCCGGCTTCCTGCGGGACCCTCTGCATGTGCTGCCTCATTTCATGCACATGGTGCTTTCTCTCCTGGCGGCTGCTGCAGGAGAAAACTCACCTGTGGACCACCCGCCTCGCCCGGAGCCTGAGGACAGCAGCCCGGGTCACAGTCTGCTCCACACCAACATAAAGCCAATCCCYGGGCTGACCCTCAGCTGACCCTCCCCCTCTCCCGGCTGGCCGCCTTCACCATGAGGTCGGGGTGGCACAGCCACCTCGTGTCCCTCATCTTCGTGGGCCCAGTGCCTGGCCACACTGAGAACTGGCGGCTCCYAGGGGCCTGCTCTACCTTCTGTCCTCTCCTGACCCCACCCACCCCAGCACTTGCTGAGCACGGGGACTGGCCCTGAAGCGCTCCAGGGGCTGAGTCGGGCAGGATTTTACCAGCGCGAAGGGGTTGAGCACTGGCTCAAATGCGCCATCCGATCCTGATGAACAGGACGCCCGGAGCAGGAGCAGGAGCAGGAGCAGGAGCGAGGCGGCGGGGCCCGCAGGTGGTGGCTGGGGCCGTGGTGGAGCCCAGTTTCCACGCCGACTCGCAGCTGGCCTACCTGGAGCAGAGCTGGCTGCGCAGACTCCACAGCCTCCTGCATGTTCGTGACGATCTCCTCTGGGCTCAGCGTGGAGAAGTTGATGGGCAGGCTTCCTTCTTGGTCTCTGGACTGCGGACTGCCCAGCTGGCTCTTCTCCAGCGCTCTCAAGAAGTCAAGGTAATTGACGGAATTATCCTGCTGGCTGATGCCCCAGCTTGACCCCCCAAAGAGAAGAATGTATTAATTTTTCAAAGTCTATCACTCACTCATTCAACAAACAGTTGCTGAACAGTGCTGTGGGGGACATAAGCCATGTCAAGATGCTGTTCCCTGCCCGTGGGGACACGTGCCAGTCAGCTCTGTGATTAGACAGGCACATAAATACTACAGCTAGGGGCACTCCAGGTGGTAGGGACACAGGCCACTGCACTCTGAAGACCTGAGACTGGACAGTGGGGCTCAMTGCTTTGGAGTGTGGATGACAGGAAGGAGAGGACTGGTCACAGGAGCTGGGCCCGAGAGAGGTGCCTGAACAGGGACGTGGCATTGCGGCGCAATCCCATGACGGTGTGGGGCGTGGGGTCAAGACTGACAGCAGGGTCTGAGACCCGGGGAGTGAGACAGCAGGTGCAGTSACGTGGGGTGCCTGGCCGCCAAGGCCGTCACCGAGGGGGCCGTGACTTGGACATTGCGATGGGATTTGAGGAGAATGGAAATCTGTCAGAGAGTGGAAAGCACAAGAGGAATCACATGAAACAGACATTAAATTATTTTCTAAGAAATGAAGTTGTCAAGGMAAAAGCTCTCCAAAGGTATTTTTGCAAAGCCTAGCTGGCTTCATACTTTTTCAAATAAAAATTGTATCTGTGTTGGCCTCCACGAGGAAATCTGGGTGGAAATGGAGGTTCCTCTGTGCCCTCAACTCCAACATCGAGGAAATTACCTTTAAATTATGAAGGAATAGATGGTGGGTAGAACCCAAAGGTTCCCTAAAAGTATAAGCATATTTATTAAAGATGTAAAATAATTCAAAATAAAGTTTCATGGTGTTCAGAATTCACATTTCTGTAACCTAAGTTCTTGGGGCGCCATGGGTACCCGAGTGCCCAAACTGTCCTTCAGTGGTACGGGGTGCAGGTGTCAGAGCAGGACAGCTCGGAACACTGGTAAGTTAGAGAGAGAAGTTTCCAGCGACTYAGAGACTGGCTTCCAGAGAAGACGAGCCAAGAGCCGGGCTCTGCCAGCTCACAGCTGCATGGCAGCCTCCCGCAGCCCGCATCGGGTCGCCCGTGTGACGGAGACACCGCGGCAGAGGACAATCAACACCATTTCATCAGCAGGATGAATTGCCAGCATGGTATTAAAATGTAGTAATAAAACCAAATGCATATGCTAATCTCCTCTGCAGTATTTAGAAAAGTCTATTTCGGATCTAGAAAAGAATAATCTCCATGTAATTGCCAATAGCCAAGATGTTTATCATCAAGGGTCTTTGAGAAAGAACAAGCAACCAAGTAGTGGATCCTTATTAAGGTTTCAGTGCGTGAAGAAGTTGATCACCCATTGAAAGGTGGACTACAGAAATCCCACAGTTCTTTTGTGGTTGTTTATAAAAGTATCAAGMCTAACTACGTTTTATTATTTATCTACTGCGATTTCCTCATGGCTCATGCATTGAATTCATATGAATTCTTATTCAGCTGGAAATAGATTCAGTGGGAAGAGATGATGCTGCTTGAGGAAGAAGAGAACATGAGAGAATTTGAGGATGAAACACCCTCCCTTTCTACACACACACACACACACACACACACACACACACACCCTTGGATGACAGCTTTAAAATTTAAAGGGAAAGTGATTTTCTCCCTAGGATTCTAGGTTCCAACAAGATAAGAACCTGTGTAAGCAAGCATTTAAAAAGTTTTAGGCCATAAGAACTCAGAAAATTCACTTCCTGTCCAACCTTTCTTTGAAAACTACTTCAGGAAGTACTCCAGCAAAAGAAAGCAAAGCAAGCAAGAAATAAAAAGATGTGGATTGAAGGGATGGGGACGAATTAGAACTCAGTCTCCCTCTCATTCCATCAACTAGAAGAAGCTGAACAAGCTGAGCACTGATGGCTTTTCTTGGGTCCAGGGAAAAACAGAGGTCACAGGGCAAAAAGTCACCCTGAAATCTGTAGAGAAGTCATATCCCGAGGATCGCAGCAGGAACCTGCTCTGTGGGAGCAAAGCTCTTGTTGTTGTAAGCTGGTGGGAACTGTGAGGGTTCTCCTGAACAGCTGGGAGCTGCTGAGTGTGGCCCGGAGGCCGCCAGGAACCACCACAAAGAAGACCCGAGGGAGAGCCCAGGTGTTCTGGCAAGGAGGGAAAGAGTGACCGTTGGGAAGTGTGCCCAGACCCTTCTCTGCAAGAGGGAAGAGACTTGATCAGACCTTCTCCCAACCCAGGACAGGGAATCAGCCCCTCGGGCACCTTCCAGCTTCCTGTGTCACCTAAAGAGGGAGTAGAGCTACAAGACGTGTCTGCAGGCTGCAGCCGGGCCTGGCCCACCAACAGATGGCGCTCCAGGCAGAAGCACAGAACTGCAACCCAGCTCTGGCATCGCCACAGTGGGTACAGAGGAGAGCCCCGCAGCCACCCCACATCAGGAGGGGCCCCGGCTAGGCTGAGGGGGGAATTCGTGTCCACAGAAGCCTCCCAACTGAAATGAAGTGGAAAGAAGAATGGGAAGGAAACCCASACCAAGAGAGAAGGTCTTGAACTGTGGGGAGACTTCAAAAGCTCTGCTTCATCGAAACCCAGGAGGGAAGAAAGGGGCAGAAGCACATTGGAAGTCACAATGGCCAAGACTCTTCCGATATCCATGACAGACACCAAGCCACAGGTGTCATCCGGAAGCTCCGAGGATGCTTCCCAGCAGGATGACACTAAGCAGCACCTGCCCCAGCACTCCACATTCCAGCTGCAGAGACCCAGAGTCAGAGAGAAAGCCCTTGGAAGGCGCCAGAGGGCAGAGAACACAACAAAAACAGAAGTAAAAGCACAACAGTCGCCTACAAGGGACAGAGACGMGTGGACTCTGGGTTTCCATCAGAGATCAGGTGGGAACAAAGGAGGTGGATGAGATGAAGTTTAGAAAGAAAAAACCACCAACCGAGAATTCCGCACCCGGGAGGTGCCCTTTGGAAGCACTGCAGGCCTTGGCAGCGGGTCTCTCTGGGGCCATTATTCTGCCCACAGCACCTGTCACTAAACCTCCKTGTGGCTCCCCAGACAGCACTAAGTGCTGGCAGCAAGGGACCCAAGGTCCTCTTGCCAGATTTAGCAACAACAAAAAACTRAAGGTGTGTCCGGGAATGGAACTGCAAACAAATGACAAAGTGTCTCAGTGTGAGTGTTTCCTGGGACTGCCTTACACTTACATACTAATGGTTGTTCACTTGAAGTTCAGATTTAGCTGGGCATCCTGTATTTCGTCTGGCAACTCTGTTTTCTGGTAAATCCAGCCAGCCCCAAAGAAAGGCTTTAAAGGTGCTGACATTGGTGTCCTCCACAGACACGGCCCGCCAGGGTCCCCTAGAGTCCAGGCCAAAGTCAGCCCCTTCCGCTGGCTGTGCAGAGCTTCCAATCTGAGTTTTAGTAGCCCACTCTTAAATGAGCCTATTTTGGGGAAAGAGTCTAATATGAAGGACTGTTTTAAAGTCACACTGAGGAGATGCTTTTTGGGTAAAGGAGACTTTTAAACTCTATGCTGGTTTCAGAGCACAAGAAACAGCAGCAGGGCGCGGTAAGGCAGGGACTCTGACAAAGCCAACTCGGGGATCAGCCGGGTGCAACTGGAGAGAGACAGCTCCACAGAAGGACAGGGAGCTAAAGCAGGCATCTCCCAGAAGGTGGAACCAAGAGGAGAGATGGAAACAAAAGAGAGAGACTTAAAACCATAGGGAGAGCGCAGGGGCTCGGCGGGCACTAATCAGGAGCAGCTCGGGAAGAACAAAGGAGTGGAGCTCGTTAACCAAACACATCAAGAAAGTCCCGGAACAAGACCATGAAAGGGACGGTTCAGGACGACGACTATGAGCTGGCAGTGCGCAGGCGCGAACACRCGGAGAGAGTCCACACCCGGGCCAGCTGGGGACCTAATTAGGCACAGTGAGTACACAGGAAATGAAGTGAGTAGGAAAACAGGATCAGCACGTCAGGGGAAGAGCAGTGTAGACAGGAGAAGTGGTCAGCGGGCTGCAGCAGTATGGACACTTCGATGTCTCCCAAGCCCTGGGGAGCTCTGCGTTCCTGTGGGGTGGAGGGGCCGAGGGGCTGGGTGGTTGGTGGCRGGTGATGCGGGAAAAGGCTTCAACCACAGCTTCCAGGAGGAGGCCAAAGACACCACCTACAAGCACAGAGTCAGGAAATGGCACGAGCACGTCCCTTAGAAGTGGGGACGGTCAGTCCAGGAGCCACCAGTCACAAGCCCTGGAGTTGGGAACTCTGGTGAGGAGAGGAGGACYGTGGCAGGGCAAAGGGGCCACAGCTTTTAGGAACAAGCCTCACAGAACTGCAAGACTCTCCCCAAAGCGCACGAGCAGCGTGGAGAAAAGAAAATCCCAAATCAGAGCAGAGGTCACGCTGCTGGGGGGAAAGAACACATGTGTCCCCCGTGGCTCTCCCGCTCTCCGTGGATGGAGGCCACCGCGAGCACCCAGCGACAAGGGGCACAACAATGACGAGGGGACAGGAACCTGTTCAGCAGGCTGCTCAGCTCCACCTCCTTGAGGGGACACCCACAGTCTCGCAGCACTTTCCGCAGCTTGCAGAGGGAGACGGAGCCGGTCTTGGATTTATCCAGTGTGGTGAGGGCTTTGCTGATGTCTTGATAATGGTCCTCGAGTTTATCCCTGAAAGAGAGCACGCTTCAGACCCCTCAAAGCCAGGGAGACACTTTCTTTAAAGCTCGGGTTTTGTGATCACTCTAAGGCAATGGCTTGATGGCTTCTTTAAGAACTGATCTGGAAGGTGTTTCGCAGGCTCGGTGTGATATTTATGTTAAAAGGTATCCCAGAAAAAATTATATGTGTCCCATTATCATTTTATTATCATTAGCAAATCTACACTGGAGAAATTACAACCTGTCTTTTTACTGAAATTGGTACTTTGAAAATGGAACCAAGGATTTAAAATTACAGGGAGATTACAGACGTGAAACACACCTTCACTCTCAGGAAAGGCTCACGGAGCACCTTCTGCACGCCATGCACTGCCCTGGGGGAGAGTCAAACAGGAATCCCTGGGGCACTTACATTCTAGTGGGGGCCCGAGGGACAATGACAGAAGCCCCAAGGGCACTGTGGYGAGGTTGGTAGGCAAGAGAAAGAGCCAGTAGGGGACCCTGATGCCCACGTCCCGTGGGCGGGGACTCTAGGCGGGAGCGCAGGAGGCCTCCCTGGGACAGGACACWGAGCAAAGACCGGGAGGCGGGGTTGGCTGTGGGAAGGGCTTTCCCAGGGGTCCAGGGAAGAGCTGGCCAAGGCCCTGTGGCAGGAGTGGGAGAGGGCAGGGGCGGACAGGCCAGGGTTCCAGTGGTTGGGGGACAAGGCAGTGTCCCCAGACACCTTGTTTTCTGGTTTGGTCTTTTTACTGTTAAGAAGCACAGCCCCTGTTGGGTGCAGCGGGACGTGGGTCTTCTCAACAGCCCTGGAGGGYTATCAAGCCCATTGACAGATGAGGGCGAGGGCAGGGTGGGGACAAGACTGGGCCTTCCCCTGGCAGCCAAGGACTTGGCTCCCTGTTCAGCTCCCAGCCAGAACACATTCCAGAGTCTAGGAGTCAGTTCGTCAGCTCGGGAAAATCCTTCCCTGACTTCCTTATCGTTAGTGACTAGAAGGGGGCGGTCTCTAAGAATGAACAGCCTGGCCCCTGACTTGCGCGGGGCTGACCCCAAGTTCTGTAGCCAGCTCAGCCGGGGGTCTGAGAGGCCCCTGCCCACCAGCTGAGGAAGGGTCACACTCAGGGTGAAGCCCTGTCTGGCTGGTGGTCCATGACTCAGATAAGCGCTGGTGGGAGAGGACAGWGCCTTGAATCTGCCTGAGACAAAAGTGCCATGGGACAGAAAAGTCACTGGGAGAGGTAAAATTCACAGGGACTATTCAGGGACCTGAGGCAGGGCAGTGGTACTCCAGCTGAAGCCGCCCAATGCCCTGTGGCCTTCCCTTGAGGCCCTTTAATGTGGATTCAGCCTGAAGGACATGGGAGCGCTTGATACAAAGGGGCTGCAGTGACCGTCCCCGATGTCCAGCAACAGCGCGGATGTTTTGGACTCCCTACAGGGTCCACCGAACTGAGTCCCACGCTTCCAAMGGCTGCTGGCCACCGCAACATCATATCCCACTTAATCCTCCAAGATGAAAGCAAATGAAGGTAGATGAAAAATCAAAACACTTTTTTTGAGATACATATTTTTAGAAAATTGAAGCATTCAGCACTTCTTGGACTGGCTTCTCGGCAGTAATTATTTCCCTTTCAGAGTAAATATGTGCACAGAGTAAATGAGGGTTTGGAACCCAGATCACGAACACTGCCAGACAGAAGCGGTGTTGGCCCACATGGAGCAGCAGAGCCGTGCAGGGTCTGCGGCCAGTCCCTGGTCTGGACAGGGAGCCTGGAGAGGGCACTGCCATGGCCAGCTGTGTGGCCACCAGCTCCTCTCGCACGCCACCTCCCCAGCCCGCGCCGCTCTGCTGGGTTCACCCCTACCCTCCGGTGTGCTCTGGAGCAGCTGTGTCACGTGGCCTGTTCACCACTGCTGCTCCGATTCAGGCTGAATAAAGAGCAAGTCCCGGGAAAAGAACAGAAGCTACATAGGATTTTCTCCTCTTTACACGGTGTTCAGTACACTGCAAACAAGACACGTTCCTTAGATCCAAGAGACAAATGCACAGCTTCAGTCCCTTTCATCCAACATGACTCCCACGTACCAGCCCCACCTGAGTTTCAGAAGGAATGAGGAGGTAAAAAGATCCTGGGGACCCCGACTCCCGGGCTCACCCAAAAGTTCCACCACAGTCCCAACACAGGCCCGAGGGCAAGCTCCTTCATGAGTTGGAGCAGCCCATGTTTCTGAGAGAGCAGAAGCTGGTTGTGTTTGTGGTCAGTGGCCTGCTCGTGGGGTGGCCCGTGAGCGCAGTCAACCACGTGGTCCTGCAGCCATGCTCGGCAGAACAGGGGAGGGAGCACGGCCTGAGAGCAGAGAACTCTCCGAGCCTCTTACACACAGGAGTGACAGAAGAGAGGACGCGGGTGACGAGGCCAGCTCTGTCGGTGAGGAGAGACTCCACGTTTCCCTGGTCTGGAGGCGGGTCTGGTTCACTCCAACCTGGCGCAGGCATCACGCTGAGTTCCCCGAGCCCAACACTGCCTCTGGGCTCTGTGACTCGGTACCCCAGGCCCAACGCAGGGATGTCCCACGTGCTCTGCTCAGGGCTACCAGTCACAGACCCCCCCCCGGGTCCCGCACCTCACTTCCTCTGGGGATTCTTCAACAGCAACTCGTCGCTTCACTCAGGAGCTAAGCCAGGTACTGGGGACGGAGGGCTGAGCTCTGCCATTTGAGATGACARAGGGGACAGATGTGTGAGCAGAGCCAGGTGCAGCTGTGGCATAGCCACAGGCAGAGGGTGTGGAGGGCGAAAACGAGGGCAGGCTGAGGCCCCTCAATGTTTAGGGTCACCACACACAGCCCAAGTTTGTCCTACGTGGTCAATGTTAAGTACTGGACGCGAGCAGCTGGTTTTAAATGGAAAACAGTCCTGTACAACCCCACCTCCAAACCCAATGTACTGCCATTGGCTCTGCACAGCCTGGTCCTTGGGCACGTGTGTGTGAGTGTGCGTGCGTGTGCGTGCCCTTGACGGCACTCCAGTCGTGGTCCCCGGGCCATCCCAGACCTCACTGCCAGCTGGCCCTCCGAGGCAGCCGCTGTGTTTATCCAGGGGGCTTGGACAGCCGGACTCCGCTCCAGGCTCTCCGGGACCACCCTTCACTCATCTGGGCCTGGAGGCATTCCTTGGGTTGTCGCCGTAGCTACAGACACCCTGCAAGCCACCCCTGGCCACTGCTGAGCCGCTCTCAAGCCCTCACAGTAGAAAAGGTGGGCTCAAGGCTGTCTGTCATTCATTTACACATCCATTCACTTACCTGTCGGGTGCTAGAGGACAGTGACAGGCATCCCAAGGGCTTGCATCCTAGCGGGGCCCAGGAAGGGGCGGGCTCTATGCGCACATGGCTGAAAAGGGTGGTTTCCCAGGATGGCCCATAAATCATAGAAGAATGGCACGGGATTGTGCCTGGGGAGGGCGGCATGGGCTTGACGCTTCTTAACTGCTTTCTAACTCTTTGATTCAGCACCAATTTCTAGGATCTGGGCAGTGAGCACATGACAAGTCCATGATAACTTGGCCAGCACAAGCCAGAAGGCCCCATTTTGAAGCAACTTCTGCAGCCAGGGTAAAGGCAGGACAGACAGCATCCAGCCGCGGCCCCAGCACTTGCAAACCCACCTGGCAGGCACCGCCCTCTCGGTGCTTTGCTGCAGCTCCTGGATCTCTTCCTGGACCTGCTGGGGCTTCGTGAAGTGGCCCAGGAAGTTGAAGTAATCTTCTGCATACGGCCGGTGGATGGTGGGCGAATAGCGAAGACCCAGCTTCTGGAGAAACTCCTGGTAAGTGATGTGCCCTCTTCCTTCGGTGTCATAGCTTTAAAAGAAAAAGAAGAGCTCTCATCAGCCACCATGGAGGTGCGCCGGTGCGCAGGGCTGGACAGGAGTCCTGGGAGGAGTCCCTTCTGCCGCCTCAGCACCCGAGTGGCCCTGTGGCAGCAGAAGCACAGGCTCAGCTCTAGCCCCGACCTGCTCTGGAGCAGCACTCCCCAGGTCACATCAGAGTGTAAAGTCACTGCTCTAGCTTTAGCAGAATTATTGCCAGTTGTCACCCACCCCAAGAGAAAGCCGTGTCCTGTCATACTGCGGGGGCACAGCAGTGGTCACAGAATACTAACGCTGACCCCTTCCATACATTCAAAATGTTCACAGAGCACCTGCAGTAAAAGAAACTATGTGAGAAAATCCTTCAAAAAGTATATTCCATCTTAAACTTGAACAAATAAATGCCACTTGATTCAAGGACGGAAAAGTCCCTGTCTTCTCCCGAGGAGATGCCAGTCACACGCACCCACAAGAGAGAGACTGCGGGGAAAGCAAGATAAGATGGGTGCTGTATGCCTTTCATGTCGTTTTCTATTATTGAGACTTTTCTGAATTATAATTCATTAAAGAGGCCTGATGGAGAGGTTTTTACCTCCCAAAGTTATTCACATAGAATAGAATTACTTCAATTAAACATTTTAAGGCAAATTGTCAATTTTCCTTAAAGAAAAAGAAAGCATTTATTTCTACAGAAAGATCCTCATCTAATCCATAAAATGGTGCTTGCAGATGTGATTTTCCCCCTGATAAGCTCAGAGCTACGAGGAACAAGACGGCACAGCCCCTGGACCCCGTGAGCCAGCTCTTCCTCGGGACTCTGCTTGGGCGTGTGCCTGCCTCGGCCTCCCTKGGGGGAGACTCCTGTGGGACGGCGGCAGAGCCCCACAGTCACCCGGACACTCTGACCCCTAACAATGGAGAGAACGCATCGATTTTCCTAGTTCTCGTCCTCACGGGGCGGTGTGGCCGGCAGAGGAGGAGGTAAGAAGCTTGGGGCCTGCTCTCGCTCTGTGCAGAGGTGCAGAGGAGACAGGAGTTGGGAGGCCAACATCTTTGGGAAAGCCAGCAGGCCTGCCCTGAGGCTCTGTCCTTGTCCTCCTGTGGCCTATGCCCTCTGGCCATCCCCTGCCCAGTTGGAGCAGTGCAGCTGGAAACTTTGAGACTAGCAGGTGCTGGCCGGCTTGGAGCCRCTGGCCAGGCTGACAGGCCCTGGGTATAGTCCTTAAGTCTCGTGGGCGCTCCTGGCCCCTCGAGACCTCTCCCAGGCCTGTGCTTATCCAAACCCCTCCCTGCACCCCACAAGAGAACCACTCTGCCTTTACTTGGGGTTTTGCTTCTAAAACGAAGCCCAGGAACCACCGGCAAAGGAGCTGGCAGAGCCTGTTTCTGAGGCAGATGGTGGCAATGACCCAGGCAGGGCCATCGTGGCTCCAGCCAGGGCAGTCCTGCTTGCTGGTGCAGGTCAGCTGCTGGAAGGGCATCTCTCATAATTGTGTCAGGACCATCACTGGCCTTGGGCCACCAGAATGAGGTAACAGGGCAACTCTGGTSGAGACCCCGCTGATTAGTTCCCCACTCCCCTCGGCAGGTGGTCCACGGCCGCCCCTTGACAGSCCCCAGCTAGCAGTGTGCCTCTTCCAGAGACTCCTCCTTCCCTCTAGTTTAGCCTAGACACCATGATCCTGGACCCCCTGAGCTCCTTGTGCTGGCCAAGAGGGGTGGATCGACTCGCACAGGCACCAGCCAGGGCCCAGGGCTCTACCGCAGCCGCCTCCCTCTTCCTCCCAAGTGCAGGTCTGATTCCCTGTGGACTGCAAGTTTCCTGGGGYCCCTGTCCTACTCTTCACCACTCAGGGGGCCCAGTGGCTCAGCTCTGCGTAAGCTGCGCTACCCTCCTGCCACAGAACCAGGGGGAGGCGCTGTGCTCCCGGGAGGCCCCTCTCCTGCGGTGACCCACTCTCGCCATGGCGCACTCCTGAGAGTGCAGCTCCCTGCTCTAAATCATGACACTTGAACTGAATGAAAAGGCACTTCTTAATTACTTCATTAATAAAGATCATAAACATTCTCTTCTCATCACGAGGAAACAGAAGACCAGATTGCACAATTGCAACTAAAATATTGTTATGAATGTGAATAATAAGAGAGTTAATTCAGCTTACATAACCTCACCCTTCATTATATAATCCTTTGTGTAACATTAAAAAAAAATCAACTTGCCTATAAAGGTTGAATTTTAAAATGGTTCAGCAACAGATGTGCCAGGGAAAACGTGCACATAACAGAGGCCTCATAAAACCTGCGTTTGCACACAGCAGCGGCCATTAATTCATGGTATAATCAGATTACTCTGCCCACTTATCGTACACAYGGCGGTTCCCTCGTCCACACGATTTGGATGTTCACATGGGTTGCCTTGCTTTGCTGAGAAAGCCTCAGTCCTTCACGCTCAGTTGCAGATGGTTTGTTTCATAAAGTTCAGAAGGAGCTTTGACCACCACTGCCACAGAGGTAAGGGGCAGTCAGAGGCGTGGATATGGCCTGCTGGTGACCCAGTCATGCTGCAGAGGTGGACATGGTACCTCGGGCAGCTGGGACATGAGGAATTCTCCCAGGCCCCGACTCAGAGGATGGTCTCATGGCTCAAATAGCGTTTCTTCAGCATGGGAAGTGACTGACGCCCACGCCGGCCCTGTGGGCACATTCAGCAACCCTGGGCCGTCACGGAAGGGTAGACACGGTCTGCTCCAGTCTCCACCCAGGGCCAAAATCCTTCCTCTATTCTCCCAACAAGTGGTGGTCTAGCTTCAGACAGGGCCATGCCGGAGATGGGAACCCGCTCCCTCAGAGACGGCTAGAGCCCTGGACAGCTCGGACCTCTGGGACGTTCTCTGCCGCCAGGAGCCCCCTGGCACACRTCTGCAAGGACAGCCTCCTTCAGGCAGGCCCACTGCTCCGCCCCTCTGGTCCCGGCACATCCATCTCCCTTTGCTAAGCTAAGGAACCCATTCACTCAACTTCTTCCGACTTTTACCACCTCTAGGTTCACCCTTCCAGTGTCTGCCAGCAAGTCACCAAGTGTCGCTCCGGACACAGCCTTGGCTGAGCCACAGGAATGGCCTCACTTCCTGTTAACTGAAAGCCCGAGTCCTCTCCTCACAAAGCTGCTGTCCACGGCTCTTCTTTTTACACCTGGATGCTGTCCCACCGTGCGCTCACTGTGGGTCACTGTCCCTCACGTGTGAACGTGGAAGGACCTGACCACACCTCCGCGGGCCGCGTGGCTGGCTGGTCTCACACCTGGCAACCTGCGCTGACGTCCTGGGTCGTTGCCTGCTGCGGGGCCTCTCTGTGGTGCATTTTTGTGGCACCCTTCCTTCGTGCCACCAGGCACCCCAGGGAGATGGCCCTGGCTTATTCCTTTCGGGCCCAGCCTGGCTCCCAGCTAGGAGGGCGGCTGAGGAGGCGGCTCCAGCTGCCAGRACGACCCACGGCCAGCAGGCCCCGTCCGCGGCTCGGTCACTACCACAAACGCTCTGCAGGGTGAGGAAGGAGCCAGGAGGAATGGAGGACGAGGACCCTGGAACTGACGTCACGTCGACATGCAGAAAAAGGGAAAAAGCACGGAGCCCCCTCCTCATCCCYAGGAGCGGAGCGGACCTGCAGTTGCTGCTGGTTTCCTCTTTCTTTGTGCTTTTCTGGATTTTCTTGTCTTCAGAAATGAGTGGGCAGTCTCACTGCAAACCAGGGTCCAGTCTGTGTTTTCATTTTGCTACCAATCTTTATGCTCCAGATGCCGGGCAGTCCAGAACCAGCCACTCATGGAYGGCCAGAGCCCAAGGCCTTGTGGCTCTTGGGGACAAGGTGCAGGGGCCGGCTCCCAGCAGAGCCCTGCGCTTGGGCCGCTYGGCTCGACCGCCATCTGCACAGGCCGCAGCCTGGGAGCACCCGCTGTCCTGGCACAGCCTCTTTTCTGGGCTCCTGAAGGCCGATCCTCGCCTCCTGCATCTCTGGCCAGCTCCTTCCTTCCAGCCCCTGGCACAAGCCCACACAGCCACAGCCTCCTCCTGCTTGGACYGTGACTGCTCCTCACTCACCTCTGGCCCTGAGACTTGGCTCCTGCCAGTCACCCCTCCCTGCAGCCAGGTGATCTTCTAGAAAGTGGCCTGTCCAGCCTGTTTTCCTGTAAAGTGCCTGGCCTTCAGGACGGGTCCCCTCTGTCTTGGCGTCATGATGCCTTTAGCTGCTGTGCAGGCCACTCCTCTCTATGGTCCCTTGCTGTCCTTGTGGCCACCCAGTTGGTCAGCAGTCACACTGTGGCCCTCCCTTGCTCTCCAGGAGGGTGTTCGCCAGGTGGTCCCTGGCCTGGCTTGTCCCTCCCCACGTCCTCTGTGCCACCCCCAGCGGCTCCAGGAGGTCGGCCTGGTGGGGGAGGCAGAGCTGTGGTTCCCAGTGCCGACCCACTAGGGTAATGGCTGTGGCTCCTGCTAGGCCCCAGGTTGAGGTTCTCCATTTGCCCTGGCAGCATCGGTGGCACCTGGCTGGGCCGGGCCGTGGGGTGTAGAGGGTGGAGGCAGGAGACACGCTGCTGCCCTCTGGGCTCTTGGCCCATGGGCGTCCCTCCTCTGCTGCTCCGGCGGCCACTCAGCAGCCCTGGTCCCTGAGGACACCACATTCCCCTCAGACTTCCAGCCCTTCCCGCCCGCACCCTCGTTCGCTGTAGGAAACGTCACTTTGCATTTTCCCCTTGGACACTGAGGACTGTGCTCCTGGACCTCCCTCTGCCTGGACGCTCCTCCTCATGTGGCAGATGCCACTCTGAATTCCCCTGTCTCTGTCGCCTCTTCCCTTGGAAACACGTTCAGACCGCCAGTCCCAGCCTGCCCTCGGACAGGTGCAGCCCTGGCAGTGGGTCCGGCAACAGCCTGGGGCAGAGTGATGGCCACCTCTCCGGCCCCAGCCCCACCATGTTGGCCGCATTCTGCCCTCACTCCCTCCCCTCTCTGCAGGCCAGGCACACGGGCTCCAGGCCCGGGGCTGGGCACTGGCTCCTCATGATCCTGAGGGAGGAGCACTATCACCCACCCTGCCCCCACACCAGGCCACAACACCATCTGGGGAGCCGCAGAGATGGCAGTCAATAGCCTGCCCTGGCCAATGTCACTACCCAGCTTAAAGCCACCTTACGGATTTCAGTTTTACAAGACAAAGAGTGATGGTGATAGATGGCGGGGACAGCTACACATTGTCATGACTCACTGAGTGCCACAGAGCTGTCTGCTTTCAAATGCTCAAGATGCATGGACCAGGCGTGGTGGCCATGCCCGTAATCCCAGTGACTTGTGAGGCTGAGGCAGGAGGACCTGAGGAACTTAGTGAGACCATCTCTCAGAACAATAATGAAAATAAAAAGGGTTAGGGATCGTGGTTCAGTGGTAAAGTGCGTCTGGATTCAAGCCCCGGTGGCAGAGGAGTAATAATAATAATAATAATAATAATAATAATAATAATTTTTATATTGTGTGTATTTTAGCACAAAAAAATGGAAGGGGGCAGTGGTTAACAAAATTCGAAATCAATACAAACTTGAGTTTTGAAATGTAGACACAGCATGATATACTGCTTAGGAGTAGTTCACCTAATGAAATAAAATTAAATAATGGGTGCTTCAATTTGCAAACACTTCCTGGGAACTGCCTTAGGAGCGGGGCTGAGAGGCAGACCTGCGGCGGACAGAGCCTTGGCCCTGCAGCGAGGGGGGTCCCTGAGGGAAGGGCRGGAGGAGGGAAGGGGCACCACAATCGGCTTCTGGGCTCCCAGGYTCCTTTCTGACCCCTCCCCCGGTGCCCTGCTGCTATGACCCTCTCACGGCTCAGCTAGCTGATTTGCTATCTGAAAAGTAAAGATCCTGAAGTGCTCGGCTTGGAGACCTGGMGCAGCACCCTCATCGCCAGGGCTGTCATCCATCCCTGGGGACATGGCASAGGGTCTCCAGGTGAACCTCTTAAAACCAGGTGACACTGTTGAGAGGAAACTTCTGCTCTTCATCCACCTTGGTCTCACCCACCGAGCCACCCAGCAAAGAGATGGGGGTTACCCAGCCCAGCCTGGTGGCATCCCCAGGTGGTAGGGAGGAGAGTGAGGCCCAGAGAAGTCAAGAAACTTGACAAGGGCACCCAGCTGGAAGTGGGGTAGAGGTCACCCCCCACACTGGCTGTAGAACAGTCACCCTTASCACTCAGCATCTTGATGCGAGGCCAGTCCCACAATGGTGGACATTATTCTAACCACAGCCAGTTTTAAAACAAGGTGAAAAATTTACATTTTATGATGATGTTCGTAGCGTCTGAGAAACCTCAGCCTAACGACACAGTGTCCACCTCCAAGAACGGCCAAGGCTCCGTCCCCTCTGGAGAGGCACATGTGTGTGCTGTCACTTTCCAGGTGGGACACATGGCTGGCACCATGGGAGCTCGGGGCGCTCAGGGGCCCCTGACGCGGTGGCACTGTCCAAGGCTCACACCTGAACCAGCGCAGCCCCGGATGGGTTCCTGACCCTTGTCCTAGACCACAGCTCTGAGCTGTCACAGCCAACTGAGTGTCACTGCCAGTGCTCAGTCAATGACACCCAGAAACCATGACGGTGAGGGGACTGGCCTTCCTTCCCCTTAGGCCCGGGTCCTGGGCCACTGCCCAGGTTGGGCAGTCCCCACTCAGAATGTCCTCCATCTCCATCTTGACCTTGAACTCTGTCTCAAGGTCGTCTCTGTCATCAGGCTGCCCAACCCTCCAGGGCTTTTAGCGTCCACCACCTGACCTGCTCCCTGCCAGGGTGGGGTCTTTTAAAACTAAGGATTTTGTGATAACTTCGAGCTGCTTTTCCAGGCTAGACACAAGCCGCTGCCTAGTTCCAAACTCAGCCACACTCAGCCTCCACTGTGAGAAGGTGAAAGCCAAACCATGACCGGAACTGCTTTGTGCACCTGCCTCCTGAGCGGACGTGTGACACCGGTACATCCCGGGGGGACACCAGTGGCAACTAACAAATACTGAAGGAGGAAGTGATTCAAAGATGGATCTGAAACTGAGAAATAGCCACATTGTTGGGGYGCTGGGAACTTAGCCGTCTACACAGGGAGCACCGTAACTGGAGCCTGGTCCCCAGGCAGCGACATCTAAAATACGTTCTGACAAATAGCACTACGTTAGCTACTATTCCCAGTTTAGGGGGCCTTTGGGAAACCACTCCAAGTTTTCAAAAGTTTGGTTATTTTCTTCTAACAAATTACTTTTCCATAAAACAGCCTTGCAACTTGGTTTCCATCTCTGGGCTACAGGGAGCCACTTGTCCCCTTACCACTGCCTGTAGCTCAGGGCGTGGTGTGGGAGGAAGTCTTCAGACAGGACTTATTTCACTAAATGGTGACAGTATGGGCTTGAACTCCCGGGACCCTGGGCCCGTGGACCTGTGAATCCAGCAGTGCTGCTTGGGGTACTCCGGCTCTTCCCATTCCTGAAGCCTGGCCTGGCCACAGCTCTTTCCAGGGGAAATGAGGAACAAGGAGACGGACACAGGACCAGAGAACCCCGACCCCCTTCCTCTGGAGAAGTGAGGAATTTGTAAGGAGCTTGTTGTAGCAAGTGAGCCCAGACGTCAGAGGGAACCRCCGGCCTTCAGGTACCGCTTACCTTTGCCAAAGCTTCTCAAATTCTCTGGGTGTGAGGGGAATATCAAAGCCGTAGAGTGCATTCTTTATGTCCCTGCGTCGAAGAATGCCGTTGCCCTCGTTGTCAGTTTCTATAAAATTCTGCAAACATTAGAAGATGGTGTTTAGGAACGTAAAATGTGCATGATGACTTAGAGGACTCTCGGTGATCGATCTGTGGGACAGTCTGAGGTGGCTTTCTTCCCATCCACCTGGACACCTTTTAATCTAAGTTTCAGAGCCTCCCTGACCCCCTGGAGAAGGTGGGAGCAAACCAGGAACAAGGCTCATGGGCACAAGAGGGCTGTTTCTGGGTGAGTGAATGGTCTCCATCACAAGACCTGGCATCTTGTTCAGATCAACCTCTTGGGTGAAATAAAGGCCAACCAGGTCCTGGGAAAGGAGACCGAGGGTCATGACCTCAGGGATGCAGCCGGGGACTGAATCTGTGAACAGATGTAAGACCTCCATGTAGAAGAGGGTCAAAATAAGTGGAAGTACACTATGTTCATGAATTAGAAGGCTCCAAAATAGGAAAGAGGCCATTTTCTCCAAACATCCCAAGAGATTTTTTTTTTTAATGGAATGTGTCAAACTGATTGAAGGATGAGTCAAAGGAATGCCCACCAGTAACTAAGATGCACCAATAAGTTACAGCAACCATGAAGATGTGGTGTGGGGCTGGGATGGACGAATGACCAACAGAACAGAGCAAGGCACCCAGTGGGCATGGGGAAAGATAGTGGGGAAGACAGGCTACAAGGAAATGAGGAACACCGGGAAGGTCATTCCCAAGACATGAAATGGGTCCAGGCCTCATAGCACATCTGAGTGTCCAGTCCAGATCTCAGGAGCTCAGTGTGAAGCCAAGCAGGTGAGTACCCAGGGGAGACTGTGAGCGCACATCTTCATGCCTGCAGGGGTGGGAGACAGGGTTTCTTACACAGACCCACAGAGAAAGGTTAATAAATGTGACCATGTTAAAAATGCATTTGTCAAAGGGCACCAGATAAAAAGCATAAAAACAGGGACAGACTGGGAGAGGACATTTGCATCAGAGCTCACTTAGGGACGAGGATTAACCAGAGCCGGGGCGTGGCTCAGTATCAGAGTGTTCATCCAGCACATGTGAGGCCCTGGGTTCCACCTCCTAAACCACACACACACACACACACACACACACGAGTGTCCAGGTCACCAGTGGGCATGAGGTAAGGCAGTGGGGATAAGATATTGCCCAATAAGAAAGAATATAGCTTAGTGTAAAAACTCTATAAAAACTCTCGAACAAGCACTTTGCGAAAAAGAAAAACTGACTAATGAATAAACAAATGAAAAGATGCTCAACCTCATTAATAACCAATAAAATGCTAATGAAAACTGCAATCAGATACTATCACACATCCACTAGAGTGGAAAATATCAAGTCTGAAGGCACCAAGGGCTACAATAAAGGGTCAAGTCTGTGTGATAGAGCTGTGGGGTCCACAGGGCCAAACGTATTCACTGTCTGGCCCCTCACAGAGAAAGTGTGCTGACTTCTGGCCCAAGACAGAGACAGGATTCCTTTCCTATGCCTGGACAGTGGGCCAATGGTGACCACTTTAAATTTATTTGAATTACAAGCATTTTATATATTCCACAGTAGAGTCACAAATCAAAAGACAAACTTTAAAAAAATTAAGTCAAGAGAATTTCAAATCCCTTTAAAAACACACAGCAGGTCTGGAACATAAAAATCTTGGAAGTCACCAGTCTGTCCCAACGACTTGTAAAAATCTGAGCAAACTGAAAAATCAACAACTCTTTTTAGGTTTATAAGAGAAGTGAGGTCATGGGTCAAACCAAGGCCCCCAACTGCAGAGACAGATGGGGGTTCAGAGAGTCACCACTCGCTGCAGCAGATGATCATGAGCACAAACCTCCACAAAATCAGGGGGACAGGATCAGAAAGAAGATCCCCTGGTCACTCCTAGACCAGCACCACACTAATACCACACCAGACCAGGCCTACAAGGAAAGAAAACCACACACTAATGTCACTTCACATAGAAGTAAGAGTCCTCAAGAAAATATCAGCAAACTGAATCCAACAATTGTAAAGTTACAGAGTGTGAGCTAGTGGTTTAACCTGGAGTGCAASGATGGTTCAACACCTGAAAGTCCACTCATGTAATCCCTCCACAATGGAGAAAAGGAGAGAAAGCACATGGTCCTGCCATAGATAAAGAAAAAGCACGTGGTGATGGAAGACACCTGTGGAACAGCATCAGTCAGCCCCACCTTAATGACGGGAAACTGGAAGCTTTCCCACCAAGATCAGGACTGCGATGAGGATGTCCCCTGTCACCCCTGCTTTTCAACACCATACTACAAGTCCTAGCTAAGACAGTGAGATGAAATAAATTAAAGGTACACAGATTGAGAAGGAAGAAATAGAGCTGACACTGTTCACAGGTGACATGACTGTCTATGTGGCAGATACAAAAGAATTGACAAAAAGAAACCTCCTGTAACTCATGAGCAATGAACCAATGTTGCCCAATACAAGGTTAGTATACAAAAGTCAGTCACTTTCCCAAATAGCAGCAATGAGCAACTGGAATTGGAGATTAAAACACAATACTCTTTACATTAGGACCCCTCAGAATGAAATATTTAGCTAAAAATTTACCAAAATACATATAAGATCTGTATGAAAGAAATCAGAGAACTAAATAAATGGAGAGATGCTCCTATGGATGGGAAGTGTCAATTTCATCAAGATGTCAGTTCCTCCCAACTTGATCCAGAGGTTCAATACAGTCCAATTAAAACCCCAGGAAGACATGGATAAAGAACTGACTAAGGGTTCATACGGAGAGGCAACAGACCCAGGATAGCCCATGTGACTCTGAAGCGGAAGGCCAGAGCTGGAGCAGTGACCGGTCCAACCTGGAGGTGTGCTGCAGAGCTACAGGTGTCAGGACAGTGTGGTGTCGCAGAARGACAAAGTGGTCCTGGAACAGGATGGAGGCCCGGGAGCAGACCCTCATAAAAACCACCCGCTGGTCCTTGGCAAAGGGGCAAAGGCACAACGACGGAGAAAAGCGCTTCCCAGCAAGCAGTCCGGAACCACAGGACAGCCCAGGCCTTCCACCCCCGACAAGAGATGGCTCAGATAGGGTCACGGGCCTAACTGTAAAGCCCCAAATTAAAACACCTAAGAAATAACAGATGAAAAATATCAGAGAAAACCTGGGTGACAGGGTTTGGCAGTAACTTTCAGAAAAATGTAAAACGTGAAGAATTGATGAGTCAGACTTCTCTAGAATTAAAGATTCTGCTCAGTGAAAGACACGGCCAGGAAACAAAGACGGAACCACACCCTGGGAGGAAGCATTTGGAACAGACCTTACCTAAGACAGGACTATTATCCAAAACAATTCAACTTACAAAAGGGCTAAGCCCCCTTATGGTTTGGATGTGAGGTGTCTCCCAAAAGCTCAAGTGTGAGTCAGTGCATCAAGGGTCAGAGGAGACGTGATTGGGTTGTAAGAGCTTGAGTTAATCCCCTGATAGGATTAACTGGGTGATAACTGAATGGTGGGTGTGGCTGGAGGAGGTGGGAATCGGGGCGTGGCTTTGGGGTGTACAGTTGTATCTGGGGAGTGGAGACCTCCTTCTCTGCTTCTGGATCACCATGAGCTGCTTCCCTCAGTCCCAGTCTCCTGCCATGATGCTCAGCCTCACCTCCAGCCCCCAGGAATGGAGCTGGCCTTCTGTGGACCAAGACCTCTGAAACCGTGAGCCCTCACACCTCTCCTCCTCTGTGACGGTGCTGGTTGGGTCCTTTGCCCACAGTGGAAATAGCTGACTGAACAAGACCTTCACAAACACCTCACTGAGAAGACACATAGATGACAAACAAGCACACGAAAAGATGCTCCGCCTCACACGTCACCAAGGAAACGGAAATCCAAACAGCAATGGGGTGCACCTCATGCCTGTTAGAAGCCCTTATCCAGAACAGGACCACACAGACCACTGGAGGTGACCAACAGGGAGGTGGGGGAGGGGTGTGTTTCAGGGCGAGGTGACCCAGCTGCTGGCCACACCAGCAGCCTCTCACTGATTTGTGCTGTGAATAATCTGCTTTATTGCTCATGGTGATCAACTCTACTGGTCTGTGAGGACCACGAGGCAAGGATCAGACTGATCTTGGTTAGCACTGAGTCTGGGAGCAAAGTCGGTAAGTACGTGCTGACTAAATCACAGCATGGAAGAGCGAGGCTGGCCAGGTCCCCAGAGTTGGTTTTCAGAGTCCCTGGGCTCCACAGGACAGCAGCAGCCTAGGGGGCAGAAGGCTGGTCTGTTCTTCGTAACAGGCAGACTACAGGGAGAGGAGGAGGAGCAGCAGTGTGTGTGAGGGAAGGTGGCTTCCGAGAAAGGGGGCTCAGGACTGCACGAGCTGGTGGAGGGTGGGGAAGCCRGAGCCTGGCAGCGTGTCCCCCTCTTCCCCAGCTGGTACACACTGGGTGTCTAGCCTAGATCCTGCTCCGTGCTCCTGGGCCCACAAGGCAGCTCCAAAAGCTGGCTGGCTCAGTGGGCCATGCAGAGCTTTGTTCTGGAACTAGGTGGCCTGGCCAGCAGCATAGCCAGTCCACTCCATTGAGGACAGGGTCTAGGAGAGGCGGTCCTGGTCATGTGAGGGACATAATGGGCAGAACTTCATATTGGGCGCAGGCCCAGAAAGAGCAGACAGAAGGAAAACTAGAAGATGAAACGAACTGGAGACTTGGTCAAGATGATGTGAAAGTACTTTCATGGTGCAGTTTTAAAATACTTTTGAGAGTGAAGTTCCTGTGTCCTTGTACCACATAAAATGGTGATTCCACGTCCTCTGTTTCAGAATGAGCCTAGTTTTGTCCATTCCATTCTCAAGTCCTGTAGGTAGAGCTGTCACCATCACTGCCAGATACACATCCTCAACTCAACGCCATAACACAATCCGTGAGACTGTCATGATGTTTGCCCTATACAAGTGAGTCCTATAATTTTGGCAAGATAGGAAGAGAGAGCTCTTTAAAGTGCATGTTTATAATTGTGCAAAATTAGGTATG